GATCTATGTATACTGTGAGCAAACAACTAATGATGGAAGAATAAAGACATTCTGTTATTTAAATAGCTAAATCTGTTGATCTCTATAAAATATATAACCACAATAAAATGATTTAGTATGATTTGGCTCGTTCTCACCGTCAAGTCGGGGATTGCCGTATTCGGATTGAAGGATCAAACTGAGGTGTACTAAGTCTAGGACTTTGATACAGTTTGTTCGTTCGTATACACGTAATCAGCCTCAAACTCATGCCAAACGTAAGCTTTTGATTGGCGCTTCCTTTGCATTCTTCACTCTTCACAAATGCACTTTTATGGTATTTTGTGAATTTACATTTCTATTCACACCCGAAAGTTCCGATGTTTACAATGGCGCTTACAAGGCATATTTCCATGGCTTTCAAGACATTGCGATGCCTGCAGGATTGTGCTTGGCGCTGTGATGAGATTGTAGGTCAAGTTGATGGTTGAGTTTACCTGAAACTGTTCGTGTTGACGCATGATATGCTATTGACTCGGCTATGTCGGCTCGATATAAGTTTACATTTATTCATTTTATGCCGCATTTATTTACTCTCGAGTCTCTTGTTACTGTCTATTGAGTTCAGTCCCATTGTATGTGAGTTAAATGAGGTGCATGCCCCGCAATCATGACTCTCCCATTGCTTGCAGGGGCTGGCTGTCCGACGTCACTGGCCACATTCATTGAAAGCCCCTCTATTCTATTCAACCTCATCAAGCTCTAGCTACCTTACCTAGCTCGAGCTCTGTCAGCCGGAACAACTAAAGCCGCCATAACCTCACTCTGAATACCCTCAGACTAGAGAATGCCCGCCCCCGAGATACCAAACCTTTTAAATTCTCTCCGCAGCGCACGAGGAGGCCGTGGTCGTGGTAGAGGACGAGGAGGTCACGCCTCATCAGCTGTTACTCACGATGCTACCATCCAAGGCACTGATACTGATGCTTCAGTGTCGAGGCTGAGCGCTGTTGATCTGGGGTATCTTTATGATCCGTATGCTCAGTACTTTGTGCAGAGTGGCGATGGACCTGTGGCAAGACGACTTCCTATAATCAATCGAGGTGTGCTAGACAGCGTCGTCATGGCCCCCAATGTATACTCACGCCTTTTATAGGAACATATACCCGCACTATCTCTCTGGACACTCTCATCGAGTCGTTTCTGGACGGCGATAAAGACAGTGAACAAGGCGCAGGGCCGAAACAGATTGTGTCTTTGGGGGCTGGTACTGATACAAGGCCTTTTCGACTGTTCTTTTCAGAGTCACGCCCTGGACTGGTCTATCATGAGCTTGATTTTGAAGTTGTCACCTCAAAGAAATTACGGACTGTACAAGCTACGCCCAAGTTGAGAAATATCTTGAAAGATGCTACTCAGTTGACTGAACACTCTTGGTCAGCTAAACCCGCTGGATGCGAATACTACTGCCATGGTCAAGACCTGAGAGGTTTCTCTCAATCAAAAACACCAAAAGAGGAGGATGAGACAGAAACAACGATGAAAGAAATCTCTCTCCCTGGTCTACGGACCGATATCCCGACACTACTCCTCTCAGAGTGTTGTCTCTGCTATCTCACCGCCACCGAAGCCTCAGATGTACTCAACTTCTTCAGCTCACGGATACCCAACCTCGGGACCATAATCTACGAACCAATCCGTCCAGACGATGCCTTTGGAAAGATGATGGTGTCGAACCTAGCAGCACGTCGCATCCAAATGCCCACTCTTCAGATGTACCAGACACCGGAAGACCAACGAGTGAGAATGAGTAAAGCTGGGTTTGAAAAGGTGTATCATATGACGATTGAGGATATATGGCAGAACTGGGTGTCCGCAGATGAAAAGCGGCGTGTGGATTCGCTAGAGGGGTTGGATGAGGTTGAGGAGTGGAAGTTGTTGGCGGCGCATTATATCGTTGTTTGGGCTTCGAAGGGGCAGGGGTTTGAAAGTTGGGACATTGTATGAAGATGGACTTGATCTACCTATAGATGGACGATATCAATGAATACTTCAAGTTGGCTCATGATTGTGTACAACTGATATCAGATGGTTCGTGATCAAGCCAGGTTACACAAGTACAGCCGAGAACTTGTCAAACATATTCAGCGCTTCAATTGGTTAAGCAGTTATGAGAGCGACTCATCTCTATGAATATGTCTTGTCTATTAAGATCTGTAACTGACTACGGAGTATCATGACTTGTCTTAGGTGCGGGAACAACATATTTCCTATTTGAGTTTAGCCCCATCCCTACTGGCCTTCATCCCGACAAGTCACTTTCCATCTTCAAACGAACCAACATTGACCTTTGAATCGCCATTTGAGAATACACATTCATATACAACTTGCTCAACGACTTGGAAATCGATTCTCATATTATAATCGCAGTCGCATAAAACATCGCCACCAGCAGGATCCGCTTCACAGATAATTGACCGTTGCTCTCAGAGCATCAAGGTATTGCGCCTCTCACCCTCCAAACACCATCTCACTACTACTCCCTACGCTTTAAGCCTTCATCTCTTCACCGGAACTAACTCAAACATGCAGACAAAGCCATTCGTATTGGATTCGATCGGCTATTCAAGTCCTCTCAGGCGCACAAGAACAACCCTTGACGTCTCATCTAACAACGCGACAAGATGGCGGACTCAAGAGATAGCAAGTCGTACAAATATCGCCAGGAGATCAGTCAAATGATGTACGTCTCCGGCGAAACCGCAGAACCACCAGTCGAAACAACAAGTATTATCGAAGACATTGTCCGCCAACAAGTCATCGAACTCGTGCGTCTCTCTCTTCCCCTTCACCTTCCCCTTCACCCTTTCATACTAAACCCTCTCAGCTCCGAAACTGCACTGAACTCGCTTCGCGTCGCGGTTCAAAATCCATCAGCATCAACGATCTCATCTTCCAGATCCGCCATGATCAAGCAAAAGTCTCTCGTCTGCGCACGTTCCTCTCGTGGAAAGACGTGCGAAAGAACGTGAAAGACTCTGATGACAAGGGCGCTGATGCCGACATCGCTGCTGGTGATGATCCCGTGGCTGCGGGTGATAACACAACGGATGAAGCAGCCAAGAAGAACAAAAAGGCTAAAGTCGGGTTGCCTTGGGAGCCTTCATCCTACTACAATGTTGAAGTACCTGAGCGTGAGGAGGAAGAGGATGAAGAGGAGGAGGAGATGAACTACATCACACTGCAGCGCCTACGCAAAGCAGATGAGCGCACAAAGGCCATGACGAAGGAAGAGTACGTTACGTGGTCTGAATATCGTCAGGCATCATTCACCTACCGCAAAGGCAAGCGATTCCGCGAGTGGGCTGGCTTCGGCATCGTAACAGACAGTAAACCCTCCGACGACATTGTCGATATTCTCGGCTTTCTCACCTTCGAGATGGTCCAGACCCTCACCGAGATGGCGCTCAAGGTCAAGGAACAGGAAGATCTAGTGCGTGCCCAGAACGGAGGAGATAATGTTGGAAATGCAAAGAAGCGGAAGCATGAGGGCGCGTTGTTCGATTTTCCTAGTGAGGGAAAGACGCCAATCGAGCCTCGCCATGTTCAAGAAGGATCACGACGATTGCAGCAGAGGCCGAAGAAGTCGAGGGCCATGCTCAACGGCACCAGGATTTCTCAACACACACCGCTCAACATCTTCTAGTGTGATATATGTGCAACATTCATGACTTTATTATACGGCAAGGCGTTGGATTAGGAACATCACCGATGCTAGGATTGGTTAGTGGGAAAGGCGTATGGAAAGGATATTCTGATGTTTATTAAGGTATTGCTTGATAGATTGGTGCCAACAACTCGTCGGCTATTTCGACCTGCTTTTCGCGACTTCCGTGCTGTAACTCCCAACCCTATGCTCGAGCCACAGACATCTTCCGTCGTCGAGCAGCTGCAGCATCCTCACAGAGTCGCGAGCCAACTCTAACTAAACTCACGGGTAATTGCTCCTCACCGTCACTATCGGCCTCCTTCTCATTATCCTCTCTCCTATGATTCCGTCTTCTCGCATGGCCTGGACGTATTGTTTGCGTTCGCTGTAGTCCACTGGCCCTACTCTCCACTGTTGGAACCTCCTCTGCCGGAACACCGGTCGTGCGGCTATCAGCAGTCGGCACGCGAGACAGAGGCATCCGCGTCAAGTGCTTACGCTCCCGATAGTTACTGAAAGTAGGAGTCTTTAGTAGACCGCTGCGGAAATCATTAACTCCGACTAGAATTTTAACAAGTTGTACAAGCTCTTCGAGATATTCGATGATCTCCATCTGTCCAGAAGTGCTCGCGTTCCAAGAGAGGAACCGTTTTTGGGTGATGAGGTATGCGACCTGCGCAGCAAGCTCCCCGTTCTCGTCAAAGACACTTGGTGACTCCCCAGCCGGTGTCTGAGTGCCGCTCCTGGACGCAAGAATCTCGCGCACATGGTTGACCAGGCGCAGTTGCGCCAGACGACTTGACGGGATAAACTGTGGCAAAGGCGTCCAGGTAAGGAACGCCTCGTATACCGTGAAAAGTGTCAGCATAATACTGGCAGCCACATTGCGTCGATAGGCGTGGACTTGAGGATTCAAGTCTTCCAAAATAGACGAACCATACTCTCTCCGTAGCATCACGACATTTTCCATCCTATCGATGATTTGATGCAACACGTAGAAGATCTCTCTATAGACAGGCACGAGCGGTTTGAAATCACCTTTTAGTCGCGGCTCAGTAACGGAGAATGGGAGAAACGTCTCGGCCGCAGCCAGAGCTCCTCGTGCTTTGGTTGTGGCACGACAGAAGCGCTTGTTGAGGTCGGGATTCCGGAAGTTTGGCTTGATGGGCTCGTCCAGGCCAACAGCCATTGCGGCTTGCATATTCTGAACCTGTTTGACCGACGCTGCGAGCGACTCAACCAGTCGATCCCTAGCTCTAACTGGGAATAAAATAAGTTCAATCAGCAGCGCAGTCGTCCCCCCGATGAGAAAGGCACACAAGCGCTTATAGAAATAGTGATAAGCGGGCTCAGCGCCGTTAACAGCAGCTAGTACTGTTAGTATACTGAGGACATCTGAAAGGGTAGCAACTTACAGAGCGCGACCACGACCATTGTGACTGTAGAGATCATGCCAGCCTTGACGTATCTAGTGCCAAGCTGGACATAGAACGACGGCATGATACCAATGATCAGAAAGAAAACCATGGCGATAAGACTTTTTTCCCCAACCAGGGCACACGCAAAGCCAAAAGCGCTACCTGCCACGACACCGCAAAGACGAATGAAAAAGACGTGGAATGACGTTCCTATGGCCACTTCAAAGACGAGAAACAGCTGCATCGGTGCCCATATGCCACGATAGTCTGAGTACCATCCGACCTGAGACTCCACAAAAGCTGGCCAGCTAAGTAAGAGGATGGCGATTGTAAGCTTGAACGCATATCTAACGTGTTCCGAGTCCTGTGTCCATTCCAAGGCGTCGGCTGCCATCCCTCTAATCATGAGGATCTTACTGCCTTTCTGAGGCTGAGCTTGCTCTTTCTCTTGTGGTTGTTCATCGCTGCGGTCTTCTGTCGTTTGAAGAACCGGTTCTGCAAAGCGAATGCCTTTTTCTTCATCTTTTCCCTTTGGGGCCTTTGTTTTCGTATCCTTATTGCTTTGGTGTGTTTTATTTTTCGACTTGTGTCCCTTTTTACTCTTCCCCCGACGAGCTTCTTTGCGACCCGCCGCTGGCAGAACAAAGCCGTCATTCTCACCACCAGTAATCAACCACTGCCTAATGTCGACATGCTTGGGAAACCAGATTGTGGCTTTGTCGTTTCGAGCTTGCCTCTGTTCGACAGTCTTTCGAACATGGTGAAGCATCTCCAAGACATACTTAGCTGCCTGGCGCAGACTAAGTACAAACGAAGAGATCAAGAACGATTCCATTCGGGGCATGAAATCCGTGCTATAGCCACTCTTATCCATCCCTGAACGGCGGAGCTCCATAGAGCAGCTGGCATCGAAATTAGCGATCGCTTCCGCGAAAAGGTCGATTCTAAGGTCCAATTCTTGGAGATGGATTCCTCTTGGGGTCGGTGCTCCTGAAGGCAGTCTTCGGACATCATAGCAATAAGCAACACATATGATGACCAGGCGTACAGCCTCCTTCAGCGAACCCTCAAATACCTGAACAGGCTCTCGGATACGCTCGATGATAGACTCAAGAAGACTTGCGCTACTAGCTTCGATCTCCCTTAAAGGTTTGCTTTCTTCAACCCTTTGAAGGTAATCATCAAAGGTGCTCATGCGTTTGATTCCACTGGGGCTAGACATATCGCTGTCGCTTTCGTCATCGGTAATGTCATTATTCTGCAATACGATGAATTTGTTCTCACATGCAGCAATGATGTTGACAGTATTTTGGACGAGGTTGCTCATATGGGAGGTAGACAGGGGCTTCATACTGCTTAGAGGAAGAGCAGACACAGAGATTTCGTAGTTAACTTCCCTCTGAGCAGCTTGACAGTGAGTGTGACGTGCGCGAAGACTCCCCTTGCTGCCTATCAGACTATTGATCGTCGTAAGGCCTACTGGAGTGGTGGACATATGATATCGATGCTGAGATTGTTTGAAGGGATTGGGAAACTGACTCAACCACTTGCGGAAACGACCTTTCTTGCGCTTTGGTTTCTCGGGGACACTCTTTACAGTGTTTGTCATTGTAAGAGCAGTGACAGTGGAATCTTCTTCGGAATCAGCACCGGGTGTGATGAACCAATGCGTAGCCCGTGTCATAGTATCCATCGTTTCGATAAGAGCATCAATGGTAGATACACCGAGGTAACTGCTCGACAACTCGGGAAAGATTGATAGGTTGACCACGATTGAGATACCACCGCCGACCATCATAGGGTAGTAGGTGTGTGTAATAACCTCTGAAGACACTGAGGTGTAGCCACTGAGCAGAGTAATGATATTGGCAATCAGAAAAAAGGTGACAAATAAGAACATGCGGGGAATAGCCGATCTTACATAGCCATGAAAGAAAGCAGCTATAGTGAAGAATACTGCGCAGATAGCATTATGGGGCATTTCGTTTGTTGCTCGAAAGGAAGCCATAGTAGCCAGCTTGAGTGCAAGTATGGACCACGCAAGTCCGAATAAGGTGCCCAGCAGCATCATGAGAAGGGTTTCGATCATGGGGCCCAGCCTTTGACCTGGATGAGCAAAGACAGTGGCCATTGGTGCAAGAAAGGTCGAAGGGCCCAGGACTGCCGCGGCTTGAGGACTCATGACGGCGGCGGCCGAGGCGACACTAGCGATGGAGCACTTGATAATCTGTTTCCATAGATCGTTGGTCTCGGTGTCAACCCAGAGGACTATGGCCAGCTCTCGAAGGCGTTTCGTTAGAGTCTTCATGATGGGTGATTTAGGCATGACTGCGTTTGTGGTATAAGCTGATACTTGTGTGAATTCGTTGGAGCTTGATGAGAATCGTCAGTCATCCTCTCGTCTTGCGGATGGACGCTTCGAGATTCGCGTGAGCGCCAGATAAGAGAAGAAACAGTCGAGCACGGCCAGCCATGCAGAAGGAAAAGATGGTATTAGAAGAGAAGTTCAAATCGTCAATGCTCGATGATGTCTAATCATGCAAATTCATGCCCAGCAGTAGGGGTAGGAATTCCTTAATATCGTATCGCGTCTTGGGCTCCAAGGCTTGGCTACTCGTGGGTCATGAATGATTCGTGTCTGCAGGGGGGAACAATGTCATTGCTTTTATAAGTGTATTATATTAAGATGATAAGAGTTTTCCAAGATGAGAGAGAGTGTGATTATGAGTCGTGGGAATAAGCAATTGATTGATGCAAAGTCATGGAAACACAGTGAAACAAAACGATGCTTGAAGAAAACTTGGAAAGTGCCGGAGATGGAACATCGGCACACGACGCTAAGGCAGGTTGCCCACGCGATGTGCCGAGACCTCTACTTCCATCTTTTAGGGTCAATGGTACTGATATCCATTACCATTGGCTCCTATGAGAAGGACACTGTTGTAATTCAGAGCCACCCTGTAAGATCGCATCTGTGAACGAGAAAATAACCAATTTGAAGGCATGTCAATGTTTTTGCGGGGGAGTAAACGGCCCATCTGCACCTCAGCCAAGCCAAGTCTGGTTGCACAACACAAACAGGGGGTAAACGTGTCGGGTCGGGTGCTAGAAACCGGGGCATCCCCCAGGGTCTCTTAGTGGCAGCCTTGCAGCTCTTCAGTGGCTTCATCCCTACCGCACTCAACCAATCAGCACCGATCCTTGTGTTCCGCGACAGCCTCCTAACAACGTCGGCTTATCCATGCCACCATCGATCTCTAACCCAGCTCTCGTCTCTCAACCGCCTGCCTCTCGTCTTGAGCTTTAGCCTTGCCCAAAATCAAGATGCTTTCCTTTATCCTCATCCAGAATCGACAGTACGTTCTTCCCAATCACCGCAATCTCTCGGTACTGACTGCTTCTCAGGGGCAAGACTCGTCTCGCGAAATGGTACGCCCCTTTTAGCGACGAGCAAAAGATCAAGCTCAAAGGCGAAGTCCATCGCCTCGTCGCACCCCGCGATCAAAAATACCAATCCAACTTTGTCGAGTTCCGCAACAACAAGATCGTCTACCGCCGGTACGCCGGTCTTTTCTTCTGCGCCTGCGTCGACACAAACGATAACGAGCTCGCCTACCTGGAGGCCATTCACTTCTTCGTCGAGGTCCTCGATGCCTTTTTCGGAAACGTCTGCGAACTTGATCTTGTTTTCAATTTCTACAAGGTCTATGCGATTCTCGACGAGGTGTTTTTGGCGGGCGAGATTGAGGAGACGAGCAAACAGGTTGTGCTTACGCGGTTGGAGCATCTCGACAAGTTAGAATAAGGCCGGCGCTTGGCCGAGGTCTGAAAGGCCGTGGGAATAGGTGGGATATTTTTAAATACTGCTTCATCTGGCCGAAATCGTCATTTGCATATCATACGGGCAGGCAGGAGTTGAGGCGTTTCGTGGAGGCGTCCACAATATCGAGAATTATACCATTATCGCTGTTTTGTCCTTTTTATCCCAAACTCCCGCTAGAAGAGGTTTGACTTGGATATACAAACGACGCTTGTTCGACTCACATCGTCAGGTCGATGGGGAACGAGATCGTGCCTAATCCTTCCAAACCGACCTGGGGCTAATACCACTCTCAAGGGCGGCGAGCATCGCCGTTTTCTTCGCTAGTTCGTCCTCATGTTCTTCCTTTATGTCCGACCACCTAGTCTTTTCGGCCTCTGATCTGTACTTGCAGGAGTCTCTTCGGCCTCTGTATCTGTGCTTGAAGCAGTCTCTATGCTCAAGAATGGGATATCTTTCGTCGGCCAGTTCTCTAGGGCAGATTTGGTTTTTGCATCATTGTACTCATCAAGCTTTCGCATTTGACCGCGAGTCTTGAATTTCAATTCTCAGCAGATGAACTTCTAAACATGGTGTTCACCTTACCTTGTGATTGCCCCGTGGATGTACGCCTTCAATCGAGTTAGAGGGTGGTTTGGGCCCCCGGTTCCTATACCTGTTAGCACGATATCCATACCCATGCCATCTGAGCATCATACTTAAGTTTCAGGAATTGATACTCTATTTCATGACGTAAATAATTTCTCTTCTCCCTCCGCCGTTTTCTTTTCTCGTCCTCGTCCAATTCAGTATCCTCGTCATTGCTTTTAGCCCACAAGGTGATGGCGTATTCAAGCGATATCCCCCAAGAGTCCACAAAGGAAACCCATTGCTCAACGACCTGGCTTTGGGGACACTTTAGTATGAAATACTCTTGGTGAAGAAGCCATCTCATGTAAATTCTCCCCATGCTCTCAACTGCGAAGCTGTGAGGTGTCGCTTGAAAGCTTTGTTCAAGCATGTCCTGTTGCACTTGAGGCAGTTGTGATACATCTCGCAGGTTACGAAAACCGAGGGTGTAGCGGAGAGTGTGACGAAGGTTTTGTCTTGATGCCATTGTCTTCATATACCGTGAAGGTCACTGAAGAGAAAGTTGTACTTGGAAAGACTGAGTGATTGGTGAATACAGGTAGGTATTCCTATACTTGTATAGATTGATAGAAAGTCGAACAAATAAGAACTTTTCGGAACGTGATTGAGAGGAAGAAAGTAGAAACAGAAGAAACGCGGGGAGTCTGAAAGTAAATACTCCAGGCGAGGTTGAGAGGCATAAGGTAATCGCAGCTCATGAGTGATTGAGTTCGTCTTCAAAGTCTGCTGATGCAAGAGGTCCATACATAACCATCAACTGTGTCAAGCCCGATAAACCTTGGTCAGACCTGGCTGCAAAACAAACCATTCCTGCAAACCATATTCACTGCTCCCTGCTGGAATACTCCAGCTCGTAGCCGGAGTAAGGGATCCTGACTGGTTAGCACTGGCAACCATACACATCTATCTTGCATCTCGGTGTAGGGTACATAGGGTACCGGATCAGCAAAGGCCTTTGTATGTAACATCACGCTTTTGTTCTATGGTTAAATCGCAGTGAATAGTGTGACAGTGGCGCAGAGTCTTATGAATGCCCCCTGATCATAGAACACGCACAGCGGCATGATTCACTCTGACGAAGTGGAAGTGCGCCCCTCACTGAATAGACCATTCATCTACTCACTATCATTATACTCTTGAACACAATTCACAGGCTCACAACACCTGTTCAACAAAATAAACCCTAAAAACTCCACATGGCGCAATATAACCACTCCATCCAAAGCCTCTCATCGCTTCTTCAGCGCCGCAAACCTTCTCTCCAAATCTCCAAGATCCGGAATCGATCCATCAGGCTCGCCCTTCCTCGCCGCTGGTTCAGCCTTCTTACTCGGCTTCAGCTCTACTGAATCAAGCGTCACCTTGGGATGTATGTTGTCGGTCGTCATCCGCGGCGGTGTCACTGTCAAAGGACTCGTAGGACCACCGCCAGCTAGCTTCTTAACTGGTGTGTTTAACACTGGATCTTGGGAATCTGCTGCGAGAGGTGTTTCGAGAACCTTTTGCTTCTGGCCGCCTTGGTCGTCGTCGTCATCATCATCGTCGTCGAGGAGTTCGGGGGGTGGTGAGACTGCTTCCCGCTTGGGCCAGTCTACTCCATACGCTCTGGCAATCTCTTCCAGGTATCCCACCACAAGCTCTTCGCGCGGGGGCGTGACGCTGAGTTTCTTGACAACCTTCTCGTTGACCTTTCCATCTGTATTTTCCGTCGCCGCAAGAACATAGTCCTTTCCATACTTCTCCGCAAATAGCGTCCTCACCGTAGCCAACTCTTTGATCTCCGTCTTGGGCGCTGCATATATCAGACTCTGAATAGCCTCCTCCAAACCAGGATCAACGGTATGTCCTTCCATCAACCCAGCACGAGCAAGTAGCAATTCGCAGTAAAGCTCGAGCATCTCGTGAAGCTCGGAGGTGATGTCGGATCGAATGATGTTCTCGACGCGAATGCGGGCTGAGTCTTCCTTTCCGGCCTCGAGGAGCTGAGCCATGGCTCGTCGCGCGGTCTTTCCAAGCTGTTCATCGCGCTGCTGAACCATGCGCAACCGCGCGATGGTGAGCTTTAGCTGAACCTTGAGCTTTGTCTACGGGTTGGAAGCAGAATGTTAGTTGATACTTCGACTGGCGCATCATGGCATTGGATGCGATAGCGGGGAAGCGGGGGGCAACGGACTATAAGACTAGCACCTGGCGCCATGATGAGCTCACGAGGAGTGATATAGCAAAGGTCAACTTAGTATAGAGAGGACGAGAGAGCAAGAGGCCTTAAGAGAGAGTAGGCGGCGGTCTAAAGGTGAGACTGAGATACAAGGAATGTGGAGGGGTTCAAGTTGGGCACATTCAGTTGAAGTGCTGTAACTGCGCTGTAGTCTAGGACAGGCTGCCTTGCGAACGCCCAGACGCTATGAGCTCATTGCTTGAAGCCTTAAAGCCCCACTATAGCTACCTCCATCATCCACATCCGGATCAAGCCGAAGCTCAAGACTGCAGGCAACCTCAATTATTTTATGTCAGTGAATGGAAACAGTAATTTTCAAGTACAGACAGAAGCATTCTTGCTGCAATGCAAGGTCTTGTGATAATTAATGTACACCAACACTTCCATCCGTAAATATTTAGGTATACAGCTCGTCTCTATGTACCAATAGCCATCCCAGTTCAAAAGGCTATCTCATAGCTCCAGATGATCTCAAATAATAGAATCCTTCATCGCCATATAACGCCGTACCCTAATCCCATTGATCCCAAATGAAGTCATGGTTGTACACTCCCTCTATCGGCGAGGGATCTGCAGCTCTACAAGCAGATGATGCATCTACTCCATATCGGCATCCTGTGCAACCGGTACTACACCATCAGTTGCCTCTCCCTTGAACACGTCGTTTCCTTCGTACGTGACTCTTCGCCATCCACAAGCCTCCTTATCGTCCTTGATCCATTCCATCGTGGGGAAGTAGTGATCGTTCTTCTTCATTGTGATCACCCACGGCACACAGTCAAAGGTTACAGCTTTGAGTCGGAAGTCTATTATATGTTAGCTTTTCCATTGCAGAATTTCAAGAAACAATGGTTGACTCACAAGTATTGTCGGGAATTTCCCGGGTCGCAGCAATGAAAGAGTCGAGATCGGGTGTAGGAGTACCATTCACATGAGTGATGAAGTTGGTTGGTGCAACACCGTACTGATAGGCAGGCGATCCACGAATTCGACTAGAGACGTAGACCTCACTGTGCAGCTTGCTGATCTGTTGTCGCACAGCCTGGTGGGGTCTATGAAGGATGGCACCACAAAAAGAAACGGCATGGTTTGTTTCCATGTCGTCTGCTGCGACTGTGGGAAGTTGTAGGTGCATCTCCTCACATTCTCGCACAATAACCGCGTCAAGCAACTCATGTGAGTACATCAAGTCAAAGTCGGAGATAGTAGTGCAAATCTTGCCGTTCAGCGTGAGGATGATATCTCCTTCAAGCAGAGATACTGGATGGTTCTCGCGCTCAAAGGTTCGCTTGCTGACCATGAACAGCTGGTGATGAGATCGGTTGGTCTGGGTAACCTTCTTGATCCACTCATCGGAGACGCCCATGACAGATGCCTGAGCCATCTGGACTGATCTGAACTCGACGGACAAGATACGCAGCTTGGGGTTGATACCCTTCTGAACTGCCTCTACGACAGGGAGCAGAGTCTTGGTGCCAAGACCGAGGTAGTACTCTTCATCGCGTGACGTATGATGGGAACGCTCTCCCAGATACGACAGCCACAGAGCCTGGACAGTACCGTCTGGCGCAACAAGAACACCACTGTTGCATGTCGAACCGAGGTTGCTATCAATCGTGATGGCATCAACATTCACAGCACGATAGCGTGGGGCACCCGAGTTGGCGGGAATGGCCACCGCAGTGATCTCGGTGACACTTGTAGATCCATGAACAACGCGCCCAATCCTATTGTAGCCGAGGAAATAGGTCTTGGCGCCTTGAGTGAGAACCTCGTTGCTTAGACGAGCGCTCATGACTGGCGCATCGACGAGTGAGGGATCGTACTGAATAATGGCATAGTTCTGAAGGGGATGTAGGAAGACAACCTTGCCTTCAACAATGATGGAGTCAGCAATAGTGACAGTGATATCGCAAAGATCATAGGGGACAATGGCTCGGGAGATCAGAACGAGACCCTTGTCTGCATCAATTACAAGACCCATGCCCCAACGGCGGTTCTTAGGGAAACCGTCGAGTTTCAAGGGCATAGTGCAGTTGATGTGCACAAAGCTGCGAATGAGGTCGGCAATGCCTTGGTGAGGCATGTGGTCCAGTTCAATAAAGGAGGCGGATCGTCGAGTGGGTGGGACAGGAGGCAATGGGTCTCCCAGGTCAGTGAAGTCCCAAACTCCAGACTCATCGTTTCGAACAGCAAGTTTCATCTTGGCTGCCCAGTGTCGGTCAATGTAGGCAACGGTGGTGTTGAGAGTGTGAAGATCACGAAGGTGCTTGTACGTGACAACAACTCGTGCGCGATCTGGGATTGCCTTCATTACTTGGATGAAAGTGTCAAGGTCCGGCACCTTCTTGTGGTCAATACTCTGGACAATCCAACCATTATCCGTGTTATCGAATCGGAATGAGCCAGCTGATTCGCAAACGTAGACGCCCTGGACAGCGACGGCGTAGAGTCTTGCTTGCTGGTAGGATAAGTCGTGAAAGCTGGCACCTGCCACTGAAACGAATCGGTCAGGGGTAATCTTGTGAAGATCTCCAACCTCAATCTCGACTTCCACGTCCTGTCCACCACGCTGGAGATGTAGCTTGATGGTTTCGCCAACGCTAGAATCCATAATGTCGTCCAATCGAATAAACTGGGTGATAAGTTCGCCGTTGATCTTGATCAAAACGTCACCTTCCTCGATCTTCTTGTCTGAAGGGCCCCGGGGGAGGACAATCTCAGCTACAAGCATGTTGGTCTCCTCCGGAAACTTCTCACGCATGGCAGCCTCCCATTGAGGGCTCAATCCCAGCCTTCTGCACTCATCGAAAGGCTTGAGAAGGAACTGGCACTGGATGTCGCCACGTGTGACAGGCTTGCCGTTCTGAATGCATTGCAGAGCACGGAGTGGTCGATCCAATGGTAGGAAGTAATCTGTCGAAGCTCCATCAGAGCGACCACCAGCTTGGAGTGCGACAGCGCAACCGTCCTTGTTCACTACGGGACTGCCAGAACTTCCTCCACTGGCAGCGGCATTGGCCTGGTAGTAGCACGTGTTGAAATCGCTGTATCCCTCGCCATATTCCGGGGCATTTCGATCCAGGCGACTGATGATACCTGACAAGATACTGAGTTTTTCGCCAGCATCATTACCAACGACTCGAATTTCGGTTCCAACTGTGCTTATTAGTAATGGTTCTCGGCCGTGATCGGAGTTGGGGGGTTCTTGGGGTCCTTACCCTTTGCGAGGTCGGGTCGCAGCTCCAAGCCATCAATGTGCATATACTTGATCGCCTTGGGATCGTATCGTAGAATACCAAAATCGTGAACGGGGTCGCGGTAGACGGGGTAACAGTCGACTTCTTCGTGGTTGTCGAAGACACAGTGGCCCCAGAAGGGACCGGCGCCGACAACGTGACGGTTGGTCAAGATGTATCTGCAGGGCCAGATTAGAGCCTCTTCTCAGTTGTCATAGGCAGAGATTACGCACCCTTTTTCAGAGTCAACAACATAGCCAGTGGCTTCACTGGTCAAAGCAGAATCGGTATCGAAAGAGCAGGTCTGGCAGAACCTGATGGCGACAACGTTGCGCACCACCTTCTGGATGGTATCCTGCCACTCTCCCAAGCTCCCTGGTGTTCCAATATACATAGCGTGAGGGTGAAGTTCGTCGGTCATGTCGGAGTGGTCGTCAAATTCAACAATGTCTGGTGTGTTATCGTTTGGGGAATGTTTTCCGTTGATGGGTTTTTTGGAAGGAGGAGCTTCGTCTGGCGAGCCCGGGGCCTTTCTTTTAGCCCGGGCTGAAGAAGTTGCGCCATTCATGATTGTTTTGGTCTTCTGTGATTTGCGATGGCAAACGCGACGACGATGTTGGTGAAGGAGAGCGGCGAGTTTGGTCCGTTGTTAAAGGGGATCGAAAGTCGACAACGTCACAGAGAGAGACAGGGATCGCAAACAGTGACGGGACTGAGACAACAGCGCGGGTAACGACAGGGAAACAGAGATGACGGGGGGGAAGAGGGGGTTAGCGATTAAGTAGAGATGTAAGAAAATAAAAAAGAATGAGTTGATAAGGTAGGATTAAGAGGGTGAACTCATGAGGGCATGTGATGACAGAGAGGCCCAGGCTTGAGAGGAAGATGGCGATGCGATGCAATCTGGGGAAAAATTTATGATGGCCTGGCCTCGAAAGTCCAGTCGGTGATTGAGTGGATCAGCTGCAGCGGCGGGACTCCAAGGTTACAGGGGAAATCATACCCTCAAAAGCCGCTAAACGATGCAAGCGCCGTCATTCCCGCGGTGCCTAGGGTGCCTTCGGGTGCCCTTCAAGGTCTGACCCGGTCCGACTAGCCAGTAACTCCGCCCGAAAAGACAAAGAGGTTGTGGGTGTGGTCGAGTCGAGTCGAGATGGTGTGCCACATAGAGACGATGGGGACGACAGATGACCAGTCAGATGGGGGGATGAGATGGTGGGCGATTGAGACTTTTGTACCTATTTTGCTCACCTAGATTGCCAATATCAAGCTTATAAGCCCTAGATCTCTGTATGATGCAGCACATCGCAGACGACACCTGACCTTGTAAGTATGTGAGGGTCGTATTTATATGAGACATGGGCTTACGATGACCTACAATATATCTCCAGAGTCAAAGACAATATCGTATACAAGAGATAATTCAATATATGGAGCACTGATTGACTGCTAGCAAAAGACAAACATCGTGTCTCACTGTTCCCCCTACTCGAGTCTCCTCACGTCTCACACATCTACCCAAAAACCACTGCTGTCCTCCCTCATGTAACCAAGCCTGCATCATCTATAAGGGTCGCTCCTCGATCCACGAGGCCTTGCCATGCATGCATGTCCAAGACAACCCGCTGCCGTCCGAGACACGGAAATAAACGTGGAGGGTTCCCAACCCACAAGATCCTGTGCTATCCTATCATTGTTGCACTGCTTCCCGATCCAGGTGACCACCAACGTGTCTCGTGCGATCCTCTCTTGCATATGCATATCATACAAACACTCAGAGCCCCTCTCTTCGCCTCGACGGCCCAGACTCGAATAGCTCGTCGATCGTTGCCTGCTGCTTTTCTGGGGACATGCAAGTAGGCCAGTGGACGAGATGTCCTCGTCGCTTCTTGACAAACGAGCTGTACAGGAGCCATGCGAAGAATACTGCTGTGACGCTGAGTGCTGTTGGGTTGTGGAACTGACTGGGTGACGAGAATATGATGGTCGACGTGTATGAACACATCTCGAACACATTTTGCCAACTAGCTTCCACAGCAGAAAAAGCTCCTCGTTTCTCTGCCTCAACTTCCTGCAATGCATGGTCAGCAAAGTTCCTCAACTCATACCACAACAGAACTCACCTCTTGAATAATGACCTGTGCAGACAGATCTACCCCCCAAAGTCCGATCCGGCTCAACATTGAACCACAGACAAGCCCCAGTGTTGAGACCAGTACGTTGTCAGCATATCGCCAGAATATCGATACACCGACTGCCAAACACCCTAGCTCCCAGCTGAGGAACCAAAGACCGGCACGAACCGGTCCAATTCTCTTCATTAACCATGGCCCAATCCATGTAGCGAGAACCTCAAGAGTAACCGAGACTGTCCTCATTGCAGCAATCTGAGCTGAAGTATATCCACTCGCTAACAAATATGTAACCATAACTCCACCAAAAGACAGGACTGTGCAGTAGAGAAGCGCTATTGAGAATGAGGGTGCAAATGCAGGATGTGTAAAGTAAAGTCGAAGATCACTGGACGTCTTCTGCATGGCCTTTTTGAATGACACCCAGGCATTGTGGCGAGTTTGCTGTTCTTCATTTTGTGGTACAATAGGGGGCGTAGTCTTTGGATGCTGTAGTTCGGGTACTTGATAATAGACCTGCCTAGGTTAGAGAAGATCGTGTTAAGGCTGTATGAGTCGTATATGACTTACTTTAGCAATGGTGAAATACTCAACAACAACTGAAGCACAGTTCATTGCCAAGTTGACAAGAATTGCTGTTTCCGTGGAAACACCATCTAGGATACCTATGAAGAAAGGTCCAAGTAGCTTACAAACAAGGTCAATTCGCCTCATTTGCGAGTTCATGGCTATAAGCAAGGTATGTTAGCAACATCCGTAAGACATTAGAGGGGAAACATACTTCTAAGTGCAGTAGTATCTGAGCGTGCCACAACAATAACCCAATCTCTTTCCACTGACACAATATTCATGATAGCTGCTAGTTTCTCAATGCATGCCATGAAGATCAAGGCTGCAAGCAAACCGACCCGCAGCTCATCCGAAGGGCTCTCATGTCTACTGAGTATGAAAAATATGATGCATGAGGCAGCAACAACAAGTCGCTGTGAGACTACTCGGGTTAGGGTCATTGGTCATCAAGGCTTCTAAAGACCTACCGATTGACAGTCTCACCGTATTAAGACGGTCTTTACGATCGATATAACTCCCTACCCATGACGACAACGTAATCGCAGAAGCACCTCTTACTATCGAGTATATCGCAAGGGGCATCAAGGTTCCGGGAAATATCGATGCAAGATATAAGACGCTGCCGAATTCAAAGACTCGCGAGTTCCATGTTGAGAGGGTATGAGATATATAGAGTCGGCGCGCGCTTTGGCTGAGGGTCCATTCGGGGTCGGTATTACTAGTGTTACTAGCATCGCTTTCATTATTGCTGGTAATTTGGCTTAAGGATTGATACTGCGAATGAATGACGCCAGTTGATGAAGCTGGTGATGTTGCTAGTAGAGGCGCCGTTTCTTCGTCTCCGACACCGGTAGTTGAAGCCATGATCGTCAATTCCTCAATTCCTCAGATACTTGCAAGCGATCACATCAGTATTAAACAAAGAGAGACACTTGAGGAATCTTTAGAATTATATATAAAACTAAAGTTAAGTCTATTAATTGAAGATTGTTGAGGAATGGCCAATCGCTAACTAGTATCTCGCCTGATTCGTGGTTGTCGGGTTCTATAAATGCCGGCTCCATTGCGATCTAGCAACCGACCTAACGTTAGAGTCGGCCCAATCCCGATCGACTTGACCTAGAAAGGCAATATCTAGACAACGACATCAAACAGACACTTCTTTATGCTTGCAATATCTATCAAAATAAACTTGCGGTAACATTATATTCGTGCTACTAGCAAGTCAGTGTCAGGGTCGGAAAGGCATCTCAACTTTCTAGCTAGGGCTTCCTCAATCATCACACATTCAAAGACTCAAGATAGTGCAGAGGCAGTATATGTTTATCAGCTAGTACGAATACCAGCTTCCATAGTCACCCATGTAGACTATATATGGAGCTCTTCCTCTGTCCCCCTGCTAGATGTCCACTAACACCTTTCATCTGAGTTCTAGCAGATAACATCAATAGTTAAGATTCCCTTCTTCCTGTCTCCGCTGAAAGTTTGGCGACGACGTTCTCCGGCACCATAGAGAAAAGATGGGAAGCTAGATCTCTCCAGTGACATCGTCCTCGTCGTCCATGTCCTCATCTTTGACGGTGGCGTCGCTGAGCTCCTTCTTGACAGCCTTGGACTCACTGTCGGGGGTCTCTATTACTAGTGTTAGTAAAAGGCTTGATATGAGGGCTAGGGATGATCGACTTACTAGGAGCGCGGCGCTTACGAGGGGTCACCTTGGGGGTCTCGTAAGCGTCCTCTTCGTCGGAGCCGCCCTTCTTAACCTTAGAGACCCGCTTGCGACCTAGATGAAGGTGTCAGTTGGTCTACTAGAATATCACGACTAGAACATCGCTACTAGAAGGGGGGCATATGGCTTACCAGGAGTCGCCTTCTTGGCAGGGGTGGAAGGGGCACTTCCATCGTTGGACTGGGCCTTGAATGCTTCAATTTTTTTATTGAAAAAAGTCCACTGATTCTGGAGACTCTTGACGGTGCGTCCCTCCATGTTAATTTCAGACCAATTGATGGACTTGCCCTCAGGCTTCAACTGGGCAATGATGCGCAGAAGAAGCTCGTTCTATTGTATTGGTTAGAATCTTTGTAGATAGATCGGAGATATGATCAGGACTTACCTTGGCCTCATCGGTCCAGGCGTTGGGCTTCACAGCAGCGTCAGACATGGTGTCAGTTGAACCGTGTTGATGTCGTGAGGAATAACAGGAAGAAAAAGCGAGGGTGACGCAAAGGGCTTGAAGATAAAGCGCAGATGAGAAGGAGCGGTATGTCCTAGCAAAGATCTTGCAGATAAACCGCTGATGTGAGGATGTTGGGAGTTGATGTTGGAAGATGAAGAAGAAGAAAGGAACTCCTAAGTCTGTTAACGAGAGAACTTAAATACTAGAAATCCGAAGTAAAGATGCGAGAAATCGTTTGATTAGAAGAATAGAAAGTGTTGAAGGGCAGTAAACAAAAGGACACCCCCTCACTAGACAATTGCAGAAAAGCAAACGGCTCCTAGAAAAGATCGGACGAAACGGCCATTGCAATGAACCACCTAACGCACTCCGATTGTTGTCCGAGGGTCACCAGCAAACGGATACAAGAGAGGAACAATAAGAAAGAGAATAACCAGAACTTACTTGGTGTGCTCGCAGGTTGATTGCGAGATCGTGTCTTTGTAAGGATAAAGAACCTGTTGAAGGGTTTGGTGAACAAGTAGGAGCCAAGCTTGGTCTTCTGCCTCGTACGGAAGAAAAAAATGTGAAGAAGAGAAGAAGAGAGAAAAGCAGAAATCTTGGAGGATGGGAATTATATAGCTCTCACGATCTCAGAGAGAGAGGGCAGCGGATGAATCACGCACAAAGGTTCTCAATTCTCAAATCTCACAACTCGAGCCAGGGGCTAGTGCACCGCCGCCGTGAATCTGCCAGTGCCTGACACTGCCAACGCCTTGAGAGGTACCATCTCGTCTATTTCTATGGTTAACTCGTGCCAGCATATACACGTCTTGGGATTCCAATCTCCAAAGACCAAATCGCAGATGCCAGTGAAGCTCCGGTCTCGTCTGCAGCGAGAACGCCCTTGATGCAAATCGCCCAGTTGCCACTGCCTAGTAATCCACGACAAAAACCACTATCAAACGTAACGCAATGCAATGCAACATAACTGCCAGCTCCACGCACCACATGCTTGCATCGCGCCTGTTGCCTCCCAGATCCAGAACCTGCTATCCTCGTCATCTTGTGGACTCCTGTAGAAACCCCGAAAAATCACTCTGTATCGCGTTGCTATATGTGGTATCCTCTCCAGTGATCGACAGCTAAGTAGTTAGTCTTCTTGGTATCCCATGTTGACGATAAAAAAAGACATTTAGACGAAATTCGACCCAATCCATAAACTGTCAAACTCCGCAAAACAAAACCAATCAATTACTTCATCTTCATTCGAAACGCCATGAATTCTCGGAAGCGGTGCTCATGCTCCTCGCATGCAGCCGCCCAGCGTCGACGAACATCCATATCCTGTTCGAGCCAGTTGTAATACTCCTGAATGTCAGCATCACCCCGGTTCTCCAAGAATGAATACCCCTTTTCTTCCCGGGTACGAGTGATGTGCGACTTTCGGGTGGCAAAATGGTCGACGACTTGGGCGTTGAACGTGTCCCATTGCTTCAAGTATTGTTCAAAATCTTTGACATATGTCTCCCAAGTAAGTGCGCTTGGCTTAACGCCGTTGACAGTAGCCGCAGCTGGGATTTGGGGAGCAGTAGGTGCTGCCGGGAAGATCAATGGATGGACCTTGGGTAGCTTCATTGGAATCTGAGGCGCTGCTTTGCTTTCAAATGGCAAATTGTCCTTCAGGTCAGAGAAAGACTTCAAGCCGGAACTCTGTTGAGTGAATGGTGCCACATTTCTGAGGTCCGCCAAGCTTGCTTGGAACTCTTCGCTATCTTCAGATCCCATGTTGTTCGGATTGAATGCCTTTACGGGACTCTCAGGTCTGTGCTCGTTACCATTGACAGTGTCAACATTGCCAGGTCGCCACTCAGGTCTGGTGGGTTCGACGTTGATGTTACGGGCAGCATGCGGAGTGGGTACCTCTCCCGGAGCCTGGTTTGTCCCAATGGGTTGCTGAGGTTGGTTCACAGGCTGGGCAGGCTGTGGTGAAGGTGTAGTCTGAACTGGCTGGGGCGAAGGTACCTTGGGGGGTCGAGGTGGCGGCATGGAAGACGGCGCAGGAGGAGTATCTATGTCCATAGCCTGGGGACTCTCAGCAGCAGGTGGTTCTTCTTGCACCTTTCGGCCACGCCATTCCAATACCTCATCTTCACTGCTGCTGTCGTCCACAAGATTGACATAGCTTGTTGTCTTGGCCGCCTTCGGCTTTCGTGAGGTTGCTCGGGTAGACCGTGTGGGAGATACAGACTTCGAGGGCTGAGGAACAAACGTTTGGGGACCAAAGTCCCAACCTGCAGGGTTAAAGGCCGACTCGGCTTTAGCAGAGTCGGACCTCTCAGCATCAGACATGAAATTTGGTGTACTCTTGCCGCTCATTGGGGGCCGCATCCCAGGGGATTGGCGACCTGGCTTTCGGGGCCTACTTGGGCTGTCCTGTTCAGCTCCACCAGCATTGAACTCCCATCCAGCAGCATCTTCTTCGTCAGCAAAACTAGTGTTGATGTTGTCAGTACTTCGTCGCGGGAACCGATGGTGGTCAGGTGATGTTCGTGAGAAAGTGTCATCATTGACAGGGAAACTAAAGCTGTGCGAGTAGACTTCGTTAGCACATTTCGGCATGCTGGGGTTTTTAGAGTCGCAGTCTTGGAGCTTCGGCTTCTTAGCAGGACTGTCAGGACTCGCGTTGTTGATGAGTTGCCGTAAGAGCTCCTGTTGCTGGCGCTCAAACGGAGTCAACCGGTGTGTTGAATCCTGTCTACCACTAGGCGACGACTGAGAAGGCTTGAAAGGGATTTCATATAGGCAATGATTCCCCAAGGAATCATACCCGTGGTGACCACGACACTTGTTGGAACTCTTCAGGATTGGGCGGCTGGATGTTGTAGAAAATGGATTGGCATACATTGTTGGGCCACCAGGTGAATCAGTTGCTGTCTCATAGTTAGTAATAAGAAGCTTGAATTGGCGATTTGCACTGACGCTTATCATTTGCGGGAAACTCGGTGGCCTGCTGGTTAGGTCCCAGCGGAACACTCTTGAAGCCACTGCGAGTTTTCTTCAACGGCGCCTTAGGACGATCTGCCGGGTCCCGAGGTATCGAAGGTTGTTCAGGAGCCTCGTTATTCAAAGGAACATCCTGAGCATTTCCACCCTTCGGTGTACTGGCGCTGCGTTGTCGGCTGGCGAAAATGAAAGGTTCCTTTTTAGAGGCAGATTGGCCTTGGCGAGCGCCTTCCCGAGTACTCTTAGCCCGAATTATTGGGATGCCATCGAATGGATTAGTCTTTTCGCCTCCGTTTGACGACGCATAAGGAGTGCTTTGCCGGGGGTCTACTGTGCTGTCTTGGTCTCTGAATTGGCTTAACGGATCAGGCATCGCAGTTGGAGGCGGCCGTTGGGGAATAGGAGGAGGTTCTTGTTGTGGAATGTCAGAGCCAAATCGCTGCGCATATCGTTCCGAAGCAGGTCTCGAGCTGTAGTTGCTACTTGATACAGGTGGTTCATCGCCCCCTGCTGTCCGAGGATGGAAGCCTGTCTTTCGTGCACCAAACGAGGCTTCTTGGCGTTGTCTGGCAGATTCAGTCCGTGGTGGCGGAGGGGGAGGGGGAGGTCGTGGTTGGTCGTTCGCTTTGGCAGATGCACCCTTTCGCATGTTTTCGAATGCTCGGGCAGCGTTCTTCTTCGATTCGGCATCTGATGCTGTATACTGCTTTGCAGTGGGAGGAACTCCCGTAGAGAAGCGTTGCCATCTTTGTGCGCCCGATGGCGGAGCTCGAGGATTTGCATTTGCATTGTTGCGTCGAGGAGGGGGCGGATACTGGGCGCTGACATTTGACCACGGGTTGCCCTTAACACCCGAAGCTCCTGGAAATCTACCACGCCCTCGCAAAGCATCGTGCTTGGCCTTCTGTTCAGGATCGGAAAGGATTTCGTGCGCCGTTTGAATGATCTGGAACTGTGTGTTCACTTCTGCCTCTCGTCCAGGATTACGATCTGGATGATATTTGAGAGCTACAATTCGTGTCAGCGGCTGTATGAAGGGCAAGAGCTTCGTTGGTCTGTACCAAGTTTCCGATATTGTTTTCGAATTTCCGCAGCGTCTGCCGTCGGCGGCAGCTCTAAGTCTGCATAGTAGTCTCGGGGTGTACCCATCGTGATGAAAGGGCCCCGATCCACTGGTAATTAGGTTCACGCAGCCTCAAGAAATGAACTTGTAGTCTTGAAGGGTTCGGGTATCAACAATCGAATAGTTTGTGGAAATGCATGAAGGCTGTCTTCGGTATCGCTTGTATCGGGTGGCGTTTCAGGTCTACGAGAGACTTGTCGTTGTTGTTTGGATGTAGGCGGAGCTGGGGTGAATGAACAGGTGAAGTCGAAGGGTGATACACTTGAACTACCAGGACCCTAGTTCACGAGGCCGCGTTGAATGGCTGTGGCTCAGCTCCAGAGATCTTTAGACCCTGAATTTGGCGGCAGATGTTTCGTAACGCCTCTTTCGAGGTGGTTTTGTAAAGAAGTGATCTTGGAATGCGGTAATTAATCTTGTCCTGAATTTGGAACCTGTTGGCGCAGCTGAAGCAGATTCCTGTCAGAGTATCATTCGGTTGCCGGCGCATGAGGTGTGTAGAAGAAAACAAACATGTGGCGGGGTCTTGTATTTGTACCAGCAACCAACCCCAGAACCCCACTAACAGGTAGGCATTCTAAAGGCTCCAGTTGCTATTGTCTACAACTCCAACAATGAGCTATCTATCATCCGAGTTAGTTACGGTATATGATTCATATTACTATTTCAGTAACAGCAAGTGTTCTATCAGATGGTCTCTCTATCCAGTCTATAATATATTGAGCTTATAGTATTCCTGTTAATAAATCTTGAGATGTCCATGCTCACATGGATAGCTTCAACTGGACCCCTAAAGCTTTTGGTTACCTCAAAGTCATGCACAGGAACACAGGCCAATCTTGAACTTCGCTTTGGTTGTATGGAGGCCTTCTGGCAC